AAAACCCAATCTAATCTAATCTGAATTTACATCACATTATATTACAGTATTAGAGTTATATTACTTTAAACTTTTATGCATTGCTTACCTCAAACTTATATCTATATTCAATACAATTTAAAAACTAAACCGCTTAAATATTATTCTTTAAATACTAAGCCTGAATCCCATTACTAAATTTATTCAGTCTTATATTATAGCAATACAGCATTCTATCATATATTGAATCTAGATATTGCTTAATTTTAGTTGGTTAAGACAATGATTAAAAAATTAGGCTAGAATTACTTAAAATTTTACTAATGAAATTACAGCTACCTATTAAGTAAAAATTGTTTTTAGACTAATTTTATTATAATGTAGTTTATTTTTTAAAAATTTCTATTTTTGTAATAAAAAAATTAAAAAGTTAATTTTGAGCAAAAATTAGTAAATATTTATTTAATATATGCCAAAATTTTGAAGATTCTTGGCCATTAGCCAATTAAAATTGAGAATTTTTGTACAGCATCTAGGTTTAATCTATAATTAATTATAGTACAAACCTTAATTGTATAAATATTATTCCCTAGATTGTAGCAAAATGCAGGCAAATTTGCCTGTGTTTTTGCATTTTTTTAGCTCTGATTTACTTTTTTAAGATGCCAAAATACTTAAATAAAACTTTGTACAAAATTGGAGTTTATATTATAAGAAAAAAAATTAAGTTTATATACAAGCTGAAAATAGATAATTTTAAAAAAAATTTTTAAAAAAAATTTTATTACAATTCTTTTGTGATCTCATTTAGTTTTAATTTTAAATCTATAGTTCTTAATACAATATTATAGCTTATATAGAGGATGACAACTTTCATTATTACACTTTTAGTGATTTGTTTGTAAAAATTAGGACTTGTATTAGAAGTAAAAGTTTTTTGTAAAGGTGAAAACATATAAAATTTAAGAAAACCCAAAGAAAATTTTTAATAGTAAAAATTCTAATACAAGAACTTTAAATTTTTATTGTACTAAAATTTTCTAATAATTTTAAAAAAATTTTATAACAAAGTTATTAAAACAAAACTAAAAATATATTTTTTACTTAGAAAAGATATAGCTAAAATTAATATTTATTAAGAATTTTAAAAATTTGTCTGTATTACAAACGAAGGGATATGCTATAATGCTATGGATAACCTCCACCCAGAATAGAAATAATTATTATTATTATTATTATTTATTAATGTTAAAAAGCTAAGGTTAAAGTTATGGTCAAGAATAGTATTAGAGTTAAAGTAGACTTTAAAAAATATCTATACCAAAATTTTGCAATGAATTTTTTTTATTATAATGCAAAAGATAGTTTCATATGCAAAATTTCAAAATAAAGATAATTTTTTTGAATAAATAACTATTTTTTAAATTTTAATATTACACATAGATCATTTGTATAGCATCTACATATCTGATGCTGATTGGCTAAAAACTAGTTTTCAAACTAGTTTGGTTCACATAAATGCATGCATAATTCCATAATATTATAGTACTATCCTTTAAACCATCAAGTGCTCATATATAAGCACTTAAATTTTTATAATAAAATTTTTTAAAATTATTCAAAATTTTATTAATATTGACCCCTATTTCTAAGCTTAAATTAAAATATAGTATATAAAAATTGGATTTTGCTAAATATTGCAACCTGCTATATCGCAGGTTATGTGATTTATACTAAGCTGGATGATTTACAACCCAAACAATCACAACTCAATGTATTGACTATTCTAGAACTATGGATGGGAAATAGTGCAAATCCATATAATATTATAATAAATACTAAAAAAAAGATGCACCAAATAAATAATCCAAACATAGAAAAACATATGAGGTCTTTGCCTTGAAAATGACTTTATAGTACATGATACTATAAGGTCATTTTCAATACAAAGACCTCATAATGTCTCTATACAGTGTACTATATAGCAGTGCTGGGAAATTGGACAGTTTTGGTTTTGGACACCTTGTCCGAAACCTGTCCAAAATCTTGTCCAAAACCAAAACTAAATTTAATTGGTTTTGAACAAAATTATACATATAAAAAATTGATAATGCCATACCCTTTTTAAATTTTTAGAATTTTTTTTAACTTTGATCAAAGATATCTTGACACCCACCTGACCAAATTCGACCTTTTTTTTTTTTTTTGAATTCTACAGCTTTTTATAATTAAAATAAAAAAAAGTTGATCGAATTTGGTCAAGTAGTTGCCAAGATACTTCGATCAAAGTTTTATAAAATTTTAAGCATCTCAAATACTGTATATGCTGTAGCAAAAATTGTTTTCAAACTTTGATTGAAGATATCTCGGCACCCACCTGACCAATTTGATCAACTTTTTTTTATTTTAATTATAGAAAGCCTTAGAATTCAAGAAAAAAAAAGTTGATCGAATTTAGTCAGATAGGTGCCAAGATATGTTCAATCAAAGTTTTTGTAAAATTCTAAACGTCTATCAAATATCAAATATAATCTGTAGCAAAAATTATTCACAAATTTTGATCGAAGATATCTTGGCACCCACCTGACCAAATTCGTTCAACTTTTTTTTGTTTTAGTTATAAAAAGCTATAGAATTCAAAGAAAAAGGTTGATCAAATTTGGTCAGGTGAGTGTCGAGATATCTTTGACCAAAGAGTTTGTAAAATTCCAAATGTCTATCAAATATAAGCTATGGCAAAAGTTGTTTACAAACTTTGATTGAAGTTATCTCGGCTTCTACCTGACCAAATTCGATCATCTTTTTTTTATTTTAATTATAGAAAGCTGCAAAATTCAAAGAAAAAAGTTGGATGAATTTGGTCAGATAGGTATTTAGATATCTTTGATCAAAGATTTTTGTAAAATTCTAAACATCTATCAAATATAAGTTGTGGCAAAAGTTGTTTACAAACTTTGATTGAGGTTATCTCAGCACCAATCTGACCAAATTCGATCAACTTTTTTTTATTTAAATTCTGTAGCTTTCTATAATTAAAATAAAAAAAAGTTGAGCAAGTTTGGGCAGGTGGATGCCGAGTTATCTTAGATCAAAGTTTTTAGTTTATAAAATTCTAAATGTTTATCAATATAAGCTGCGGCAAAAATTGTTTACTAACTTTGATTGAAGATATCACAGCACCCACCTGACCAAATTCAATCAACTTTCTTTTATTTTAATTATTGAAAGCTGTATAATTCAAAGAAAAAAAAGTAAATCAAATTTGGTTAGATAGATACTGAGATAATTCGATCAAAGTTAAAAAATATTTAAAAAATATTTAAATAGTTTTGGACAGTTTTGGACAATTTTGGACAGTTTTGAACAGTTTTGGACATGTTCAAAACTGTCCAATTCCCAGCACTGCCATATAGGATACTAAATTAGATAATGAAAATACCCAGGATACGATTTTAATATAGTATATATCTTAGGCTCAAAACAATTGGATATGTACTCAAAAGTGATGATCGAAATTAAACCATGAATAGGATTATATTTATAGCATGTATTATTAATATGTAGCATAAAGAATTTACTAGTAGTCATTAATTTAATATATATATTAATTCTGGGTTACTGGTTTATCTTATGAAAAGCAAACTGAGTTCAAACTCTAATTTAAAAATTAAAGTGAATCAATAAGATGATGTAATAAAGAGAGTCAAATTTGTATTTATAAGCAAAGGAAAAAATAAAAAATTAGTAAGTGCTTTTTTTTAAAAAAAAAATTGATAAATCAAATAAGATACTTAGCATATACATATAACAATCTTTGTAATATTTGCTTGTCTACTGCATGTTTAACTATATCACCGGGTTGAAGTCAATAAAAATACTGGACTACTAAGCCACTATTAATTAAGCAAAATATCTACTGCCTCATGCTATAAGCATAGTACTATTATTTAATGCTAACCAATATTGACTTATTATAGAAAGACCATGTTACATATTTAGTTATCTTTTGTAATCTAGCATCTTGCAAGTTAAGATGTTCAAGAAAAATTACAGATCTTTAGTATTAATAGAAGTCTTAGCAGTAAGTGCCAACAAAGTTTAAGCCACATGACTAGCACTCAGTTGAATTTTTAACAGTTCAATATGCTAAGTCATAGTTGCAATATAGAACTTGTATGACTTTTATCAAAAACCAAAGATATACAAATTGAGAACAAAGAGTTCAGTAAATTGAGAAGAAAGAAGGATGGATAAAAGTATGTTTATATGACCACATGATCGATCGGTAACTCAAGATATGGGCAGCACATGCAAGATCAGGTACAATAGGTACCTTGATTATTGATTGCATAAATATAACGATTGAAGTTGAAAACAATAAAAAGTTTAATTAATTAATAACAAAGAAATAGTTAATAGTCTTTCAACTAGAGAACTTTGAGTTCTTTAAAGTATTCTTAGTAAATAAACTGTATCTTAGTGATCATATAGTGGTAGTATCTGATACGATACACCAGTCATCATTAATAACCAAGTGAGTATAAATTGATAGTAAAGACCCAACGAATACATGGTAGTTTAGATAACTCTGTGACAATAAATGATATACATTTTTCACAATCAATTTTTTTAGATTATACGTATCAGTAAAGAACTATTTTACAAAGTATCATTCAAGGTCAAAAATCGAAATATTTATATAATTACAACAAAAATTATTATAATGGTAAGATACTGATTTATATAGCAATTTTTAACAAGTCAGTTTTATTAGCTAAAAAAAAACTATGAACTATAAAAATCTTTAGATTTTACACAATAATTTTATCTAAAATAGTTTTTTTGAAATTGACATATAGTAGAATAGTGTCCAGTTCTATAACAATTGCCACAGTAACAAGTCTCTGTTCTTTGTATAAAATTTTCTTCACCTGCTTCATCATATTTTTTTGAACTTTCTTCAATATTCTGTTTTTTATTTAATTGTCCTGCATTTAGATTTTAAACACTTGGTATAGATTTTAGAATCTTTTGTGCTTCAATTTTTTCAGGTTTTCAATCCTAGTAACATCAATTATCATTTGCTTATTAATATCAACACCAGTATTATTTTCAATAAATTCCTCTATTAATTCCACAAATTTGTCAACTAATCCATTATCAGAGCAAATTTTAGCCCGCCTTTAGCCACGCCAAAACTATATGCATATTCTTGTTTTTGTGTAATGCTAGTATGAATACTAGCTTGATATGCATCAGGCCCATGAATAGAAATTAGTTGATTCATTTGTTCATCTATATTACTAGCTGTGCCTTCAATTACAGAACAATTTGATGCTTGCATCGAATCAGTGTATCAATGTTTAGATATAAGTTTAATATCAAACTTCACATTGCAAGATATTTTAAAAACACTAAAAAAATGTCTGCAATAAAAACCATTAAAAATAATATATAGACAGATACAAAGGTGCATATTGTCATTTAAAAGAATAATATAATGGGAATAGCTATGGTTATGGCAATCAAATAAAGAAACTTTCCAAATTTCAAAAATATTTTTGCAATTAACCATATTCGTAAGGTTTCAAGTGAAGCTTGTAATGCATCATATTCATCCTCAAGATATCTATCTATATATTTATAAGTATCAGGAAACTAAAAAGATATTAGCTTAATTAAGAACACACTTGTTAATAATAAAAATTTGTAAAGCCATATCGAACTTAATTCAAATAAACATGTATGATATAGAACACTTTGTGATATTTGGATATTTTGAATTGAGGAGGATTCCAATGTTAAATAATTTTTTATTGTATTTTGAACTGGTTCAAAAAACACACTTTAAATGCTTGGAAGTCCTCGAGTTGGCAATGTATTTTTATATTCTGAAAGTCACTAGTGTTGTAAGCTTTATTTGAATTGCTTTGCCTAAATTAAGCAATGTTGTTTTTGCACCAACCTCAGTTTTAATAAGTCCATTTGTGCATTCTACCCATTGCGTGCTTTGCATTCCAGTACAAAAAGTTGCAAACATATAAATTTTGGCCCATACCTGTTGAGATTTTCAAAGTTGTTCTAAATAACTTTTACATGCAGGATACTTAATCAACAATTCTTCTCAATGACGCTCCAATTCTGCTTTACTATGACTATTACGGCATTGAAACCAACTTTGCAAAAAATCATTGTAAGAATTACCATATTTACGAGACAATTTTTTTGCAATATTTGTCCGAATATGGAATATGCAGTGATTATGTTTGGTGGTAGAAAAAACTTAGCTAATAGCAAAAATCATGGCAGGGTCAGCATCAGTATAAATTACTTTTGGAGGTAAATTATCAGTTGCTTTTAATATACAATCTAATATCCACTCATATGAACTAATAGTCTCATCCTGAACAGGAGATTATGCTACAAGCCTCGTTTGATAGTGATTGTCAACTATTACGAAAAATTTAATAGCATATTATATGCATTGGTTTTTGCAGTATTGTTATTTACAACTATGTTATGATATTATTTCCATAATTCTACTTGCATTGGTAACATCCAAAAAAGCTATGAAAGATTATTATTAACTCTCTCAAATTTAATATAAATTGCCTATCTTGGCTCTTGCTCTTGTTGCTTCATTAGCCACTTAACCATATCTGCTACATCATTTTCATATTGATTACCTATTTGACTTTTATATTAACAGATAGCATTATATAGATCACGATCATACAGAGGTTAATTAGAAAATTTCTTTGAAATGTATCTACATTGGGCCTTTGCTCCAAGATTACATTCCTAAGTCAAAAATTTTATATCATCGAGAGCTTCTTGTAAAAATAAACATAGACTTGGAGCAAACTCTTTTCAATATGGTGAAAAAGAATAATTATATTCTTCTACAAGCTTATTAATGACTATTTCACTAGAGGTTTTTTGATATTCTACATTAAGCTGCTACTGACATCTAATTTTTTTAGATCCTCTATCTCTGTTATCCAAATTATCTAATTTTTTTTTAGATTAAGATTCTTTAGAATTTTCGCAGACAAAGTATTGGCGAATTATTGTTCTATTATTTTACGTTCTAAACTGAATTTTATTGCTTTAAATCCAATCTCCAACTCATACCTTTCAATGCATTTTCTAGAGAATTCCAATTAGAGAAAGTAGCACCAAATTGAATTACAAGATCATTATTTTCATCACTACATTCATATTTCTCATCATCTTGGTGCTTATATTGCATAACTTCCCGGTCAACACCGTGCTGCTTTTGTATTAATTGTGTGAATTTATTAATTGTCTGATTATTGTTAAAAGGATTGGTGAGAGCTCCATTATAGAAGTCAAAATAATTGTCAATGTTCAGATCATCAATATTAAAGTTCGTAAAAGAAAAGTTAGTTAATATCATGAATTCTAAAAAGAAATAAGCAGTTAATATACAAGAATTCTGACTATCATGCTTATTCTTTCTTTTTTTCATTTTATTTTGTAGTACATGTATTAATTTACTGTACCTTCTTGTCTTTCATTATAAGTGCGAAGATATGGTTTCGAAGATGAAAACCCTGAGATGTTATTTGACATTACCAAGAGAATATTTGTAATGACTTGAGAGTGTGTGAATCAAATTTGCTACAGTAACTTTAAAACGATTTGGACTGCAACTTTAAATATAAAAACAATTCACTATAAAGGTGGGTAAACAATTCTAATGTAATATTTAAGATGTTGCTAATGAATTTATTTTTAATTTATGCAAACAATCTTTTTGTTTATGTTTTTTACTAAAATTAGCTATTGCTAATTTCCCGATAAGATATTCAGAAAAAAAATTTTTTTAGTTAATAAATTTATATTAATCTGTGATATCAAAATTGTGACATCGCAATCTGCTATGTAAATTAACAAATTTCTAAATTGGGTGTGATGTCAAAAATTGTGATATCACAACTTGCTAAGATTAACAAATTTCTTAAAAAAAACTATTAGTTCATTTTAATAATTTTACTACTATTAGAACTAGAAAGGCCTGTTGAACAACTTTTATTAAGATTAAAAGAAGGGTTTACTTGATAAAATATCTATTTGAAGCACTTTTTAATATCTGAAGAGTATAAATAGCAAAAATGAAGGTACAAATAGCAATTCCCTATATATATATTTGTTAATTTTTTTTTTCGGTATTAAGGTGACCTCTTTGGCCAAGAGAGACTTTTTATTAGAAATCAATAATACTGGTTACAATGAAGATACAACTAGCTATATATACACCTTTTGAGTGCCTATTTAAGTAGTTCACTGAAGGTTCTACACTAGCTGCCATACCTATAACCCAACTAGGGGATTACCCATTTAAACCTTCTAATCTTTACTATATATACTATTTCATTCTAACCATGGAACTACCACAATTACAGCTTGTCCTTGGTAGATTTTGCATCCCGCCTTAAGACTTCCATGGATTTATCCTGGGTTTGCATCAACTAATTACTGGCTTGCATTTCTCCATTGAGCAGATACCACAGCTATCCTCGAGGTAAACCTACTAGAGCTTTTTGTATTCCATTTTAGCCAGCCTAGTCATCGCAGTCCCCAAAGGTTCCACTTCGATATAGTTTAGTGATTGCTATACCCTTATAAGGTTCACTTTCTACCCCGATACCCACATTCAAACTTTCCTTTTTCCATTATTCTCTAACTGGTCCATCCCTTACTTCCAACTGACAACTTGGAAGGTTCGACTTTGGCCCAGCTCTAGATGCCTTTGGCCCGTCTTATCTTGGTCTGTATTTCTGTAGCATATATCCTTTTCCTCCAACTTGGGAGTTCTCAGTCTTTTGGCATACCTAGCCTATTTTTTCGATACATGTCTTATGACCCATGTTTTCCAATCTGCAGATCTGCTAGGGTAGACCCCCTGCCACCGGTTTTCCAAGCCGACGACTCAGTTGGTGTGCACTATGTACGTCTGTCAATTTTTGGTTTTCCCAAATTGGTAGTTCGGTTGGTGGATCCCCCACTTAAGGATCTTTTGTCGTTAGGTTTATAGGTCTCGGTCTTAACTTCCAAATTCAGTCTTTTCTGTAGTACTGTTGAAGGTTTCAGCTACCTCTTTACTCGAGGCTTCCAAACAGGTATTGATCATCTTGATTATTTAGATTTTGTATAGTATTCAAAGATAAGCCAGCTTATCATGGCTTGCTGTGGCTTATTGCAGCTTATCAGGTAATAACTTCAAATTTATCACCAAGCCATGTGACAATTTCGATTTTACTACATGATAAAATCGAAATTGTTATATAGCTTGGTGATAAATTTGAAGTTATCATATGATAAGCTGCAGTAAGCTGCAGCAAGCCGCAGCAAGGTGTGATAAGCTGGCTTATCTTTGAACACTAATTTTGTGTGCCAAAGCCCCTATTCTAGATGATGTACCAAACAACCGATCGGCAAATAATCATACTGAACACAGAACTATTTTTCAATATCATTGTCTCTGGGATTTGAACTTTAGACCTGCCACTTGAGGGGTGACAACTCTACCACTTCACTAAGTCACTACACTCTTTTGTTAATTTATAAATAAATTATTATTATTAAATATAAAGAAAATTTATAAATTTACCCCTATGTATGAAACACAGGTATAATTTATAAAAAAATTTAATATAAAATTTAAAGAAAAGAATTAAATTAAATTAAACTTAAAATAAGATTAAGTTAGAGGTTAGGTTAAAGGTTAAGGTTAGGAGTAGTTTGTACTAAAATTTTGAGTATATTTTTTTTTTGTTAGAACTTAAAAAGTGGTTTCATAGGCAAAATTTTGAGTTATCAATATACCCATGTTTCATACACAGAGGTACAAATAGTAATTGTCAAATATAAATATAGTTAACCTCCTATATAATTACCTCCTATTTAGGTACAAACTCTATATAATCACACTAAAATATAACATCAGTTTTTTAATATTAAAAATATCTTTGTATAATTACAATTAAATTATAATCACTATTATATTTTTTTAGAATTTGTTGAATGATTTTGATAATAAAATCACTTCTTTATAATCACATTTATATATGATCATAGATAGTTGCTACATATAAAAGTCAAAATTTTACTAAGTAAATTGAACTTTTACATAATATATATATATTTTTTAATATTGAAGACTGGCTTACATATTACATCAGTATAACAAGAGTACAACTAGTCACACGTACAACTTTTGGTTGCCTATTTAA